GGTTTTGTGCGATATTGCTAATTTGTAAAACAATTCTCTTATATGTTCAGAGAACGCTAGAACAGTGGCGCATGAGGAAAATAAAATTAACCAACTATCAAGTGCAGACATCGCTCCAGAAGTAAAACTGATCACACCATCGATCGCGACCATAATGATACTGGACGATGACCATGCCGGCGTGTTTTCATTCGAAAAGGACAAGTACGAAGTAACTGAGTCAGACGGCTCTGTGAGCATCAAGGTGGTCAGAACGTCGGGTGCCAGAGGACGCGTGCTGATTCCTTACAAGACAGTGGAAGGCACGGCTAAAGGCGGTTCAGACTTCGAGGTCAAATCTGGAGATTTGATTTTCGAGGATGAGGAAATCGAGTGAGTAACATGTTTCTCGTTTCCCATGTCTGAACAGCATCACCACGCATAATAATCCTTGTATTTTAGTGCAATACTACATATACTAAATAAGATTATCATAATTCAAGAATGTACTAGGAATAAAATGATATGAGTGGCTGAACGGGTTTAAAACGCAGAATCAACCTACATGTCAAATACAAATTTCAAGCAACCAGCAGCGAATTTTTCCATGAAACGACGGGAAGAGATACGAGAGGATGGGAGGGAAAAATTCAGTCTGTAACTTGAAGTGTAGATAAAGCAGTAGAGAAGTGATCATATCGAACGAAGGCGCACCGCCTTCACAGCTGCTAGGGACATTTTCAAGAAAACGAAGACTAAGAAAACCAAAGGCAGATTGAATATTTAGCTACCAAGGTTGCAGACTTCATGATAATTTTAGATGACACGTTCTCAGATGAGTCTTGGTTGGCTGTTCATCCGGTAGTGGTTTAAAGAAAGCTTTGGATGATCGTATTGTTTCACATTGAAAGCCAGATCGAGAGGAACAGTCTGGCAAACTTCTATCGAAAGAAAAGCAAGAATGTTAGAAAAGGAAAGTAGTTGCACGTACTCAGCAGAAAAACGGAAGGCCAATCTGTTTAGGCCTTCAGAAACCGCGGTGAATATCTTACGACCTGCCTAATCTTCACCTATCGATCATTTACTGTACATTATCACCTTTGTAACATTTAAGTAACATTCTCACTGTGCTGCTGGCAGCTTAGAATTGTCTCACGTGGACAGCTTAAATGCATGAAACTAAGCCAAATATTAGCTTCAGTGTGAAGTCAGATTACTTTTGAATGTGTTATTAGAAAAATGAACGTATGAATGTTCATACTGTTTTAGTAAGCTGATTACCATCGGCATTTTCAATGACTCTGAGTACGAGAAAACAAAGGTATTCTACGTGGAACTTGGAGATCCTACGTTGTTGTCCAACCATCGGGTGAGTATTTGTTGAAGAATAGGCAAATTTTATGTTTATAATGAGGTATTCGGCATTTAAAGTATGTCTTAAATGTAGACCGAACAACTCAGAAAGAAAGTTGTTTTTTAAAAATTGTCTAGAAAATGTTGCTTTGGCGAACAATCAACTTGGTATTGTTTTAGAATGGCGTTTACTTGATTTGTGCTCATTTGTATGGCAAAAATTGCTATTCATTTCGTTGTCGTCCAATAAGACCATCTTTTTTCATCGAAAAATACTAAAATGATTTCATAACCAGAGGAGGGGGCAGAACAAAACTGAATGCAAATGTTTTATGGAATCAGCTCAACCATTCAAAGAAATTATGGGCTTAGTCACATAACCATTGCTGATGTATAGTCTTGTTAGCCTATGTTTCCTGTGAAACTACTTCTTGGGTCAGAGTTCATGTTTGTTGCGGTCAGTTTCACGTCGTTCACATTTCACACCATTCAAAGTGGGCCAAACTTGAGGAAAGGAAACTTTTGAATTCGGCGAAGTCCAGCGCGGCCTGGAGTCTACTTTGTTGCACGTTCACGTTGCTCAGTGATGTCTTTAAATACCTCAGCCTCCTTGGAACATGTGAAACATCAGTTATTATCCAGAAGCCGTCCGCTTTCCCGACCAGTGCATAAGCGAGATGAATTACTGACACTTCTCCTCTGTGAAAGGGAGAAATGGGAGGACTCTTCCCAGATCAAGAATCATTATAATTGCTAATCATACGTTTGTTTTTGTAGTACTGCATGAACACCTTGGCGTTGCCGACATCACAGAAGATGAAGAGGAGATCGAGAAGCAAGGGATGCCAAAATTAGGAACTTGGAAAATATGCACCGTTCGTATAGAGGAAAGCTACGAATTCAAGGTACTCCAATGGTCGTCAGTAACTCAATCATTAATTTGTCTAGAATTGTTCCATATCGCCACGAAACAATTTTTGAGGTAAATTTGAGGCTTTGTGAGCGATCAACATGACTATAGGTTAGGCAGTGCACATTTCACCAAATCTTCTGCATACGTTGGATGGTCGAGAAATCGTATGCCTATAAACATATGGGAAGCCTTTCAGCATTGGTA